TGGCAGATTTTCCAAGTTTTGTGAGGAATTTGATGTTAGCACGTTGTTCTGCATTAGCACTCAGCATTATTCCGACGGAGCTCAGAAACACGATCCGCTTCTAACAATGGTCGCGGCCAGACTAACCGATGCACGTGAATGAAACTTTGTGTGACGGTAGAGGGAAGTCCAAGGGTCAATGCCCTACCCTCCTCTTCGTCAATGACGTGGCCGGAAATGAGTCATAAAAGTAATCCGGTTTCTTTATTGCCACACCTTGTACAAATTGTACCTCCATTGCTGCACGTCGATTCGACGCTGTGGGAATGTGTTTACTGAGCCACTGCTTAAAACAGGTGTGGTATAATTGCCTATCTCTCGGCCATTGCATACTAAGAGTTCTACATGCTAAAATAATATCCAATACCGAAAAAGCACAGGTTTTAATATGCTCTTCTATATGGACATTTTTCATGAAAATGATGACAGAAAGGATACTGCTAACAGACCCACCTAGGAGCAGCAAGCATGTGTAGCACTCTATCAATGTACTGTTACCATAATCTCACCCAACATCTCGACAATGTTGCTGTATACAGAGATGGGGCTTTTCTATAACACACACACACAGATAGTTTTCTAACTTTGTTGACTGGTTCCACAGCTCAGAGCTCCATGGCGACCAGGGAACTGCTTCCCGCGAGGAGAATGTGAATTTTGTCAATGAATCAGCGTTCCTGATGGCCAATAATGTTTGGAACTAAGGGAAGTAATCAACTTGTGAGCTGCTTAATGGCATTATATTTCGCAGTGCGGTTCATGTGTGGGAGTTTGTTTATGCTTTGTCAGCAGTACGAGCAGACATTTGTTCTCAGTTACAGTTCGTAAGCCATGTGGTACCTAATGGTGTGGTACACTTCAGAGAAATGTGTATTTCTGTATGTCATCAATGTGAAATATGATTCTACTAGAAAGTGTTGGCAAAAATTTTGACGTCAATTTCGTGATGAAAGAGCTCCTAGCAGGCAAACAATTCATATTTTGGTGAATAAACTTTTATCAACAGGACAGAAAAACGTAGGTACCAAGTGCTTACTGAGAAGTTAAATTATTTAGGGGCCAGACTTGAATATACACCTAGAAAATCACTGAAACACCTAGCTCAAGAGACTGCAGTGTCAGTGCCTAACGACAACAGAACTGCTGAAGCTTAGACCTTATGAAGCAAACAGTAATCCATGCATGCCTTAAATCCATGAGATCCAGCTAGCAGTGTTCATTTTTGCAGTTGGTTTCTACAGTCTGTTGTTGATGGTGAGATTGATCCGCAATTGACATTCTTTTCTGATGTAGCGTGGTTTCACTTGCAGGTATACATAAATACACAAAATAATTGCTATTGGAATTCAAAGAATCCACATCTAACACACAAAGTCCAGTTCCATCCAGTGAAAGCTACTGTCTGGTGTGTTATAAGAGCAAGGATTGTTGTACCGGTGTTCTTTAACGAAAAAATGAAATGTGAAAGATGTATACATGTAGAAGGAGAGCATTTTCAACACCTCCTGCGATCTGTGAATTGTAACTACTTCATTCCGAACGTTAACGGCTGTCAGGCATGCTGATTCATTGCCAAATTTGTATCTGCCTTTCAGCAAGCCGCGCCCCGGTCGCCATGAAGTGCAGAGTCGTGATATATACATTGCAGATATAATTTATCTAACTCCCTTTCCTGCAATTTATCCTTTAAAAATCTGGATTCATGTTATGTGAGGGTTGTTCAAATGAAACCCATCTGTTGGGCCATATTCAATAGCAGCATTGCGAATGGGATAAATTTGAAGAATCCTCATGTGTTGTGTGGAAAAACCAACATTCAGTCCTAGCAAATACAGAAGCTAAGAACACTACAGTGAAAGATGGGAAGTAGCATTTAACATAACTGATCAGAAAAGCAAGCATATCTTGTATGCAACACACACTTTGTTGCTGAAGCGTATTTATTCTTAATACATACAGAGCCTCATATTTAACATTAGTATTCATCACACAGACTACATGGAAAGGTTTATTACTAACTGCATTTTATTACACTTTATTTTCTTAGATGGAGGTAGAAGTCAACAAAATGAAAACAGTTTCATTTTTGCAGTTAGAGATGATTTATGATTTACATTTTCTTGTGACAGCTGTAATGCTGAGCTACAAAGAAAACAATTTATTACCATGTTCATAAACGCCTAATAGTTAATGCCATCCTGAAATATATGCATGCAGCCCATTCCTTCACTCTCTATTTCTCAAAGCTTCATTTCAATTTTACCCTCTCATCTATGTCTAGGCCTCCCAATTCATTTTTTTCCAAGCAGGTTTCCTGACCATTATTTGCTACAAATTTTTCACTGCACCAAGCATTTTACATGTCTCTCTCCCATCTCATCCTCCTTGACTTAATTACCCTGATATCATTTGGTGAGAAGTACAAATTATGAAGCTTCTTGTTATACAAATTTCTTCATTCTCCTGAGACTTCCTCTTTTGGATCCAACTGTTCTCTTCAGTGGCCTGTTCTCAAGCAAACCTCATCTATGTTCTTTCCTTAGGGCAAGAAACCAAGTCACATACCCATATTAATTGGAAAGGACACTGATGAAAGCTATTATAACATCCTGGCTTGCAAGGGATGAGGAAAATAAACCACAGAGTTAAGAGCTGCATTTCAGTGGGCTGCTTTTTCCCCACAACGACATTCTTTGGGATTTTTAACACTTCACTGTTTCTGACACCTAATCAGAACATTGCACAAGTCAGAATTCTTAATCAAAATTATAACTCTCGTTATCTGCAGTGTACTGATAATCATGGATCATTTCATTGCAACGGCTGGACTTCAAAGTCCACCTTCAACATGTCTATGGATGTCATAAGAAACCGCTCCATCCTTCTCATCAGCAAGGATACTTTGCAATACTACGGGCAATTAGCCGATACCACTAAGGTGAGATTATGTGCACCTTTACCTCCATGCCCATTCTGATACCATCACATTCATAACTGACTCTCCTGTGTCACATCTCCCTTTTACATTCTGAACCGAATTTCTATATGCATTTCTCATTTACCACAAGTGTTCTACATGATCCACCACCACATCCTCCTTGATTTAATCAAAGAGGTAGCTTACAACTCCCAACGCCCTCACTCCATAACCAGTCAAATGCTGAGTGAAAGATGAACCTTTAAGTTAAAAACCGAAAATGTAATAATGTGCTGTCAGCTGAGGGCTACTGCAAAGCTCAGGTTGTGGTCACAGACGAGCATGAGCAACAGTAAGATGACAATCGGCAGGCAAAAACTGAATGGACTCAGAGAAAAGTCTGCTCCAAAAACAGAATTTACACAACAATACAGAAGAAACTGGAAGGGGGAGTGAAAGGCTGAGCTGTGACATGATTCTAAAAGAGATCCTAAAATATAAACCAAAAGGATTCAGAACAGAGGGAAGGCCTCCAAAATGATGGATGGATTCTGTTTTGTAATAACCATAAGAGGTCTCAATGATCCTGATGATGTTATCACCTTCATATACAGGGTGACACAAAAGTAACACTACTGTTTTAGGTGAGATTGGGGGCTGTCATGACAAGTTGTTCTTTTCAAGTTTGCAAGGCTATTACCACATGGGTACACGATGTCACCTGCATGCAACCATGAGAGATATAGATTATGTATCCACAATAGAGATAGTCAGTCTGAACAATTTTTTATAACACCATTCAGTAACACT